AAGGTTTTTATATGTGAATGCTCTTGCCAGAATTAAAAATTATTGAAAAATGTGAACAATACAACTGGAACTGTTCGTGTTGTGTGAACTTTAACACAATCGAATTAAGTGAAAGTGTATTGACACATCAGTATTAATATAATTACATACATGAACATGGCCCTGAAAGGAGTCAGAGTGAAAGCGTGGACTAGCTAAACTCTGGCGCTCTTGTAGTAATTAGATAAATATTGAACAGTTATTGATCAAGTGCAGGAGGAAGGAAAAGGTCTTTGAACCTGACCCGGATTCAAACCCGACTCATGACTAATTCCGACAACCGGAGCTCCACAAAGGGCCAACCATTGCCTTGTGACTGATCTTATCATACTCAGTAATAAAGATTAGCCTGGTGAAACGCTGTAATTAACAAATAATACTCTTTTTATTCGATAATAACCATGTTTTCGGTAGTAATATGTGTATGTGATATTACAATTTAGTAAGACTGCTAATAATTTAAGTAGCACCATTCTTTGCTAACCGAATGTAATTTTCCACGATGTCACTGCTGGCGAGGCCTTATGCTTTCTACACTCCAAAAACTATTATACAGGGTGTGGCAAAAATGTCTATACAGTTGTTTCATTTAGAAAAGAGTATAATTTCTATTACTCTGAAACAAACAACAATTAAATTGATTTCGAATTTCTTCGTAATATTTTTTTAGTACAGTCTTTACTCACATTTTTATATTATATCATTGGGTCTATTTTAGTGACTCATACCATAAAATTATTAAGTAATGTAAAAATAACTGGCACAAATATTTTCCATATTTAAAATCGTGAAGAATACTGGTGTGAATTATTTTTTTACTATATGTTTATACAGTATAATAAACATACGTGTGTATCTGATATTTGTATATTGCAATGAAATCATTGACAGTTTAAAAACAAGTGATACACACACACACACACACACACATATATATATATATATATACTTAACAAGTCGACCAAATGCAATATAAGCTGTACAATGCAATTAAATGTCATCTCTTTCAATTCAATGTTATGCGTATCAAGTGTCTATGTTCAGGATTGAGTTGGTTTACTTAATATATAAAGACTTCTTAATCCAAAGTGTTTCCTCGTTCAGACTACATCCCATTATCTGAAAGTGCTGGTTGTTCACTAGAGTTTTACATGCCCGAGCGTGTAGCTGGATAGAGGACTTTATTTTTTGTTTTTGCTGTAGTAGCGTTTTCAGAGGTTTGCACTACTTCAGGCAAGCTTGAATATAAGTCAGTATGTTTCGTCGTTAGGGCTAAAAATATGGGTTGTTATCATTACATTATAAATCAGGTGTCTGATGATCAGTGGTGCAATGTGAAAGCGATTGGGTTATTCAGCATGATCCTGCCTTACTTGCCATTCTGAACAGAATAACAGAGTTGAAAGTGCTCCATGTTGTCCATGAACGATGGCTAGACCTCCGAAAAGACATTTGGATGTTTTGGTCATATGAAGAGACATCAGACAAATGAAACCTAGCTAATGATGGCAGGTGTTGCGACTTGGCTCCAAGTGTAGCTGGGGGAATGTGAAACTATTTGGGATACCTGGACAAAGGAAAATTTTCACAAACCTAAGCAAGATGATCACTGTCTGTTGATTCTAGCTCGCCGCAATCATAACGTACAGGTTCAAAGATAAATGAAAAGTTTGCAATGGCAACTGGACGCAGTGTCAGTATTCACAGGGCTGGCCTGCATATTAGGTGCTCAAAGAGATGCATTAATTACACAAAGGCACAAAATAGTTGACCTGCAACAGTATCAATAACACGTCCATAGAACCAACGATATGTAGAGTAGTATTTTTAAAAAAATATGAGTCGTATTTCACGTTCCAATCAGATAACACGCATAAACACATTTAGTAATAATCTGAAACTAGAGATAAACACATTTTTACAAAGAAATCGAATACATTATGGCAGCAGTAAAAGTGTGGTGTGGCCAAAATAAGCATTAGTGGACATACCGACACCTACATTCTGTGGAAAGATATAATTACTACCACACGTTAAGAGACCACATAATATAATTCATTGTGCTACCATATGGTGGCCAGATGATCTTGACTTCAACCCAGCAATAATCACGCTCGTCCCAACCGTGACACACGGGTCAATACACATTCATTGAAGAATGTGAACGGAATGGCGTGCACACTTATCAGATTTCACACTCATTAAGTAATGAATATTTGGGAAATGTGTCGCATCCCCCCCAAGAAGCTCCACATATCAAAGATCCCCTAGAAACAGCTCTTTCAGAGAAGTGGTTAAAGATGTCAACATTCTAATTTTAAGAATGTAACATCGGCGTCTGGCTGCACTTGCTATTCGTGATGACCGTATACTTTGTACTTATGTGAAATCTAATGAACTGTAATAAGATAAAGATACGTATACCAAATTTTTATTTACAAGCCCAGGCTAAGTGACTGTCGTTTGTACCAGGTCGTCAATAAATTAATGTCGCGTTTTGGAGCACTTTCATTACCCCCCCCCCCAACAAAAAAAACAACAAAAGGTACACCACGGATAATAGTTAAACGAACCACCTAAAAGTCACGTTAGTGTAGCCTATATAATGTGTAAAGCCACAAAGAATATCAAAGAAGTTTATGGAAATGTTTTGAACGTTCGAAGGTGTCAACGATGGTTCAGCAAATTTCGTTCAGGTGACTTTAGCCTTAAAAATTGTGATGGCAGGGGCCGACATGTTGGAATTGATA